CTTGCTTGTCTTGACCCCTCTTTGAAGCTCCTTCGGCCAAGGAAAAAGCTATTTCCCCCATCCGTGGGGCCTTCTTCTTTCCCTTCCCTTTTTTTCCCCGAGTTACAAGTTTACTCCGAATTTCCAGTTTGCCTACCACGAGGAGAAACTCCTCACCCTGCAGGACCGTGGGAAGAGCGTCCTACTTCTCTCTCCTCTCCATAAAGTGATTAATATGATTGAGGAGCATTACTGTGAAATTGAGCGTTGCCTCCATCATCAAGTGTGAACCAGTCAGCTGTCCAGAACCTTCCTTCCCCCATATCAAATCTGACACTTAGGAGAGCCAAATATTTTGTTCTTGGTGGTGGAGCTAGCGTCAGCACCATGCTTTTCACATGATTCATGGGAGGATTTCTGGATAACAGAGGCCTACCAGTCTTTTCTTTTAAAGCTACCTCGTAATAGCTAACACTAAAACCTTATGAATAGATTCATCCCTCTTTTATTATTCAAAGAGGTGTCTCTTAGTTTTGTGGCCTCTTGGGAATATTTTGTGGTTCCTTTGGTTATTGTCGATGAGCTAGGCAGAGGGTCTGAGTGGCCCACTGTGCTGAATGGGACTCATTATTAATTTCAGGGGGTAAGAATCCTCCCACTGCCGTGAACATCCTGGGTGAGGCACTTGTGACTGTGGCCATAACGTTCCTAGCACTGAACTCCTAGGGAAAGGGGAAAAATACCCAAAAGCTACTTTTTAAAGAATTAAGAGATTTTATTTTTTTAGAGCAGTTTTAGGGTTACAGAAAAATGTGCTGAAAGCATCGAGTTTGCACGTGCCTTCCCACCCCGCTTCCACATTGTTTTCCCTGTTAATATCTTGTAATAGTGCAGTCCTTTTGTTAGAATTCATGAACTGGTGCTGATACATCATTAGTAACTAAAGCCCGTGGTTTAGGGCTCTCTCTGTGGTGTATAATTCTGTGGATTTTGACAAGTGCATGATGTCAGTATCATAAAGAATAATTTCACCACCTATAAAAACCTACTTCATCTATTCCTCCTTCTCCTCCTCCAGGCAATCGGGGATCTTGTTACTGTCTCCATAGGTTTGCCTTTTCCGAGGATCCATGTTAGAATCTCACAATGTGAAGCCTTTTCAGACTGGCGCCTTCCACTCAGAAACACGCACTGGACTTCCTCCTTGGCTTTTCCTGACTTGATAGCTCATTTCTTTCCATTGTCTGGGTGGACCACAGTCTGTTCATCCATTCACCCACTGGACAGCTTGGTCGCTTCCAAGTGTTGGTAATTATGAATAAAGCTGCTTTGCTAGGAACATTTATGTCCACACGTTTTTGACTCTTTGAGCTAATAACTAGGCAAAAAGCACTTTTAAAAATATGATTTTAATGCTTTTTTCCCTAGAAGTCAGAAGGAAAATATTCACCCCCTCCTTCTAGATCTTTCAAAAGACAAGGTGGGAGGTAGAAATAGATGAAGCCAAAAGCGGTCGAATGTTCCTTTCATTTGGATGGATTAGGTTCACTCATCTCCTGGACAGAGACTAATGGAGCTCGCCTTTAACTAGTCATGGAATCTTTAGGCAGTTAGATTGGTGATTGCTGAAATCTTCTAGACACATTGACAAAAGGGCGATACAGGGGCAAACAGCCAGTGAACATGTTTGCTCTGAGCGTTCGCCCCAGGGGTTGAAGTAGGTTATTCCGGGACGCGGTGGGTGAAAATGAAAACCGATTTCATTTTTTTCATTTTTGCCTGATCATTACATTTTATACTTCCTCCCCTGCTTTTATGACATTTTCCTGACTTCAAAAGTGGGCTTTTTTTTTTTTTTTTGCATTTTTTCTTATTTTTAGTCTCCCATTTATATCATTCTTCTAATCATTGTGGTTGTTCTCTAGGCTTTTGTGGTTCCAGAATTATCCAGCTTCGCTTTATAATGCTCAGCAATTGCTTTCTATACCTCACCTCTTTAAATTGTTTTTCTCCATAGTGTATGTTCTGAACCAAACTTCTCCTTCAATACCTTAGTGTGGCTTCTATTCTTTCCAGGGAAGGAGGTTGAATTTCTGTAGAAACAAACTGTGGCCTTCCTTTAGATTTAAATATCACTGCTGCTTTATAATCAGTTTTCACAGGATCACAGTTTGGGCTATTGCTGGCCCACTGTTGTGTGCGAGCGCGGGCAGTTTTTTTTGGAATTACCGTATATGCTTGAATATAAGGTCGAATTAGATCGTGTCCTGGTTCTCCTCCAAAAAGAGGAAGTTTCTCATTTTCAACAACAAAGTACTACTGGAAAAGCCACAGTCACCTGGACTCACTTATGACTTAGGGAGCTCTAGAAATCTCCCAAGGAAACAGAGAGAAAGGGAGGCCAGGACATTTTACAGGGCTTTAATGATAATGTCTCATGACTGGACCTCACCATTGTGAGGGTTTGGGAGACGACTCTAAAAACAATTCACTGAGTGGTTAATTTATAGATTTTAAATGGGTGCTTATTATTTAAATGGCTTGCAATAAGATTACCAAGAAGCGATTCAAAAAGCGCTTTGTGACAAACATCCAGTCAACTTTAAGACCGTGCCACTCTGGTAATATGGCACGAAGACTCTGTCATCCTGGTCCTGGCTGTGACGTGTTTCAATGAAACTGTTTCATGAACTGTGAGGGTGTGGGAACAATATTTCTAAAGTTAATGTTATGGTATATGCACTTAAAGCCAGTAGTGCAGCTTCGTAGATAGTCATTTGATAATTCCATTGCATTAAAAAAAATTACTTAGTCGTGTTTTCCAAAAACCCTTTACTGGGGGACAGAGTCTTCCCATTGGAAGAACAAGGGGGAGATTATTGTATATTTGGGGTTACCCTGCGTTTGGACATGCATGATACCTTTTATTTTATTTTTTAAAAAGATTTATTTATTTATTTATTTGACAGACAGAGATCACAAGTAGGCAGAGAGGCAGGCAGAGAGAGAGGAAGGGAAGCCGACTCCTCAAGCCAGGACCCTGGGATCATGACCTGATCCGAAGGCAGAGGCTTTAACCCACTGAGCCACCCAGGCGCCCCACATGATACCTTTTAAAGGCTGACATCGCGTTTAGATAATCTGTGTACTGTTTCAACTGGATCCAAGTGGAAGGATCCAGTTCTCCCCTGCACCACCCCCCAGGTGGGTGGGTGTATGCAGATTGGAAGATAGCCATATTCCCTATCTGCAAGTTTCAACTCAGACCATCCTTCTCATCCAAGTGTCCAGCCCTAAGGCTACCAGCCACATTCCAATTTTGGAAGACATTGGACACTTTTTAGAGCTCACCTTTTTCTGCACTTGACTTCTTCCCATCTTGAAATGCTTCCCAGTGCTTCCCTTCCCCGTCCCCCCCCCCCCCCCCCCCCCCCCCCCCCCCGTTCTCTCCCTGGGCAATCTCATGTCCTTTCAAGACTCAGCTTCCCCTTCCCACGTACTAAGGTTGAAAACTGGTAGTTTGCAGGCCATGTCTTGTCTGCAAGGTTGGCCCATGCAGCATGGTTATTACTGTTTTGAATGTGAATTTGTTGCCAACATTTAAAAACTGGGGTAAAATCCAGATTTCTAGCTCCTGGCTAGAGCTGGCCTGGCTGGGACCAAGCTGTGAACAACTATCCTCATGACATATGGGACACTGCTCTCCTGTTTATTTATGAAAAATCCTGCTCCCTTTTGTCCCACGACTTTGATGTAGTGTTGTCCGTTGCCATGTTTGCTTATGATTACGCTATTCTATTCCTTACAGTAGAGATATGAGGAAAAGAGGATTTCTTTGCCTATGCCTCTGTTCAAAAGTGGGAAAAATAGAAAAACTGGACCAAGAATGCCGTGTGTTTCAAAACCATGGAAGAGAACATGGTGTGTGTGTGTGTGTGTGTGTGTGTGTGTGTGTGTGTGTGTGTATGTGTGTGTTTGTAAGAGAAAGATGTTCTTATATATCTAATACTCATGGTGTGTCTGAGTTGACAGCTTAAAGATGCTTATACTGTAATCATCAACTTAGATGGTTTTGATGACCAAATATATACTTTTGCTCACATTTTTTTCTTCTGAAATCCTAAACAATCTCTTTGGTAAAGTAGATTCATTTGTATTTACTGAGTGCCTGGGATGTGCAAAGGTACTGGGGTGCAGTGGTGAGCAAGGCTGCCATGTTTCCTGCTGGCTAGGAGCTTACATTCGGCTTCCACAGATCCCTGAGCCTGATCAGCCTGAGCCTGAACACATTTCTCCCATCCACTCTTCGAGTTCCCTCAGTGTCCGTGATCAGTCAGAATCACCCACAGATTATTTAACAATCTTCACCCCATCTGCAAACTTCATTCCTTTTGGGTATGTAATGGTAATATCCACTCAGGTGTAGTACCAGGCATTAGGAGCCGACATCTTTGTTGTCCATTTTTCTGCCTGCCATGATGTCTGCTTGCTTAAGTAGATGATCGCCTGCCAATTTGTAGTTGACACTTGAGCTCCATGGATGGAGTTCGAAGGACGGATAAATTTTGTCATCTTTCAATTTGGTTTTTTGGCTGCTTCCTTGAGTCTGTTCCTTCCCCCGGCCGGTGTCACTCACCGGCTCACCAACACGTGGCCACACTGGTATGTCCCCACCTGTTACCGGCAGAGCCTGTCTCAGAATATTCTTCCAGCCTCTCCCAACCCCGTTTATTTAAATTCCAAGTTTCAGCTTTGTTCCCAGTCCTTCCGGATTCTTCTCAGGATGCGTTCTGCCCTCAGGGCTCTCTGCTTTTCTGAAATCCTTTGGCTTTTTCAGTCTGCATCCATTAATTGTATCATACTTACAAATATTTACTTGTCGATCGTGTGAGTTTTGGTAGCAGGCTTTTTGGGCTGGTTCAAAGTGGCCCTCAAACAATTCCTTTGCCTTCAGAAGCAAAATGTTACTCCATGATTTCAAATGTCTTATCTGAAATGCTCTGTGGTTTTGTTTATTTCAGGGACTTGAAGATAGAGAATTTGCTACTAGATGAAGACAATAATATCAAGCTGATTGGTATGACTTTTTTTTTTAAGCAAGATTATCCTTTAAGTGTTGTGTTGTCAATTCTCTGTTATTTATTGCTGGATTATTAACTTTGAAAATGATTCATGGTCCATTTCTCATCCCAGACAATACTCTAGGTCACCTCCTTTTACCTCCAATTATTTAATAATAGTTTTGAAAGTGAAATTAATTTTAATAATAACCATAATTGGGAAGGTAGAAATACTGTAAAGTGACCACAAAATGAATTTCGCAGCTACAAGTAAGTATTTGTTGGTTCCGTGTTCCGTGGATTGTCCAGACTTCAGCTTTGGATCCACTCAGGTGGATCCGAATTTTACAGTGGTTATTTTTATTTTGATTAACCATAAAACTTCTTAAAAATAATGGGAGGGGCGCCTGGGTGGCTCAGTGGGTTAAAGCCTCTGGCTTTGGCTCAGGTCATGATCCCAGGGTCCTGGGATTGAGCCCCGCATCGGGCTTTCTGCTCAGCGGGGACCCTGCTTCCCTTCCTCTCTCTCTGCCTGCCTCTCTGCCTAGTTGTGATCTCTGTCTGTCAAATAAATAAAATCTTTAAAAAAAAATAATGGGAAATAGTTGTGTTCAGAAGTCCTACTCTTAGCTTAGCCATGGCTGAATTCCCTTTCCGTGAATATCGGGGCACCGAAGTAAAAGGGAACCTAACTAACGTTCTGTGTTTTAGCCAAGCCCATCGTATAATGGTGGTTGTGCAGAGAGAAATCCCCACAGAGGGAGAATTTAGAAGGAAGGTAATCAGAAGGAAGTTCCAGGATAGACTGAGTCATAACTGGTTCATAATTCAGGGTCCAAAAGTGAGGTCACTCCATGACTCATTTTCTAGAAGAATTCCGTTTTTGTTTGCCTGAATGATTGCTCTTGGCAAAAGTCTCATGGCATCATTTTTACACCCAGATGTGAGCCCCATCATTGGTTCCTCTCTTTTCTTTGTTTTTCCCACCTCAGGTGCAAGTCATTTTTTCCATCTCGATGGCTTGAAAAGGCTTTATATTAGGAGAAAAGAGAAGGATCAATAGAACAGTGTGAATTTAACTCTTGTCCCCAAGAAGGAAATTTTTGTTTGGCAACTACTAAAAACCATCACTAGACTCTCTGAAACATGTCATTCAAGTAACCCAATTAGATTCTTGGGGTCCCCAAACCAGGAGTCCTTGGCTGGCTGATTAAACACCACCGACAGGTGTTAATGAATGAACATACTGATCTTTAGAAAACTAACCAGAGGGAACCATTTTTTTAAAAAATTTCCTCCCAAAGATTTTAAAGATCAGATGCTTTGTAATGGAGAATTCAAAGAGTTTTCTTTTTATTGTGTTGTTTCACTGTCGTGTTTCAGTTGTCCCGAGGGCCAAATACAGAAACATTAAGCAAGACAGACGTTGACATTCCTGTGGATGTCTTACTGGTTCTGATTTCCAGCAGATCATAAGAAAGTAGGCCACGTGAAGGCCAGATGTCCTTTATAGTAAAGGCTAAGCTCACATCCCCCGTGCACCGTCCAGATTGAGGCTGAGGCAGGTCACCAGGGGCTGTATCTTTCTCCTACCCTGGTGCTACTCCCGCTGCCCCTTCCCTTCCCTCTTGCCTCCCTTCCCCTGGCGGCTCGCTCTCTCTTTTCTCCCCAAGTGATAGCCCTGGACAATCACGTATGACACTAGAAATGCACTGTGGAATGAGCGGTGTTGAAAAGCACAGCTGTTTTTGTTGGTTAGAAGGGTGCTCAGAAGATTCTGGAAGAACCAGTCTCTGTAGATGGCGGATGCGTAGATAAGTAGTTCACAGGTTGGCCTCCTGACAAACCCTCTCAGAGCAGAGCCGTGCAAGTGAGAGGAAGGCAAGCCCTCCATGCTTGGGAGCCCACGGTTCCCCTGGAGGAGAGCAGGATGGTGGATTTGGATTCAGATGCCTCAAGTCATCTCCGCTCAACATGGCAGCCAGTGGATGGGCGCCCAAGTCGGGACGCAAGTGGGTTCTGTCCGTGGTGTCAGAGACCACGGTTTCCAAGACTGCTGGCAAGGAGGCTCTGATCTTTGGATTTCCCATTATTGGAGTTTATTATGTGGCTCCCAGTTCCCTTATGACCAGGATAAACCAGAAGTCCTACCGCACACCTGTAATCCGAGGAGACGTTACAGTAACAGAGAGGACAACTGGGAATTGCCTTGTGTTGGCCAGTGTCCGATTTTCCCCATTTTTTTCCCAGTGGGTCAGTCATGAAGCTAGTGGTGGGCGCTGGAGGGAGGGAAGACCCGGGGTCATGTGCGTTTTCTTGCCCCTGGGTCAAGCCATTTGGACCCCATGTTTCTGTGACTGTCTTTTTTGCAACTTGAAAGCTCTTTGAACCTTTTCTTCAAAGGAATTACCTAGTTATTTTTCAAAGATGGATTATAGCCCTTTGCATTGCCTCATATAATAGTTTTCCTTCTTTGAAATAATTCGATTTAAATGCATTTACTTAAGCCAGGTCCGCCATGTTTCAAATAAACTAGAGCTAACTGGGGGTAAGATCTGATTTAATCAAGATTTTTTTTTTTTCCCCTTTCAGAAAAAGCAGTCTGATGTTTGATGGTTTAGAACGGTTTTTCACTTTGGTGTCCCACAGCAGGGTTCCCTGGGACCTTTTGTGAGATTCGTTTTGTGGCTCTCCGAAAACTGAGGCTAGTGGGCTTCTCTATTTACCAGATCTAATTGGGGCAGACCTGGGTGACACCCCAGGAGGCAGACCTCTCTCTAGTTTCACCGTTCTAATTATAGGCGCGTGTGTAACATTTTAATAATTACCCTTATGGGTGTGAAAAGGACCGGTTATTTCTCTATGATATATTTTAAAGGAAACCCTTCCAGCGAGGTCAACCTTAAGTCATTTAAAATGCAGATCTCTCCTCCCTGCACCAGATCAGCCACTAATTTACCTTTTTGAAACTGCTTGTGACGAGGCAAGGCGCTGTGTTCTCCAGCTTGCCTGGGAGCAGACCGAGGGTAGGGGGGAGCTGAGGGGGGTAGGTAGGAGGGTCGGGGGTGACCTGGTCTCTTATCTTGCCTTGCCCTCTTGGTGTCCCACAGTTCTTCCCAGACCCCAGTGGGGGGAGGCGCGGTGGAGGGGGAGACCTGAATGAGGCGGTCCTTTGCTGGGAATGGCACCCCGCTGAGATTAGACAACCGAGTCTTTTGATTTAATGTCAGAAATCTAGAGAGAAACTTTACGGGACTCCTAAGAGATCGGGCCTCTAACATGACTGCGAAACTTCCCTTAAAATGTTGCCCCCCAAACAATGTAATCTTTATTGCATGGTGCTCTTTCTGCATTTGTTGTTTTATTAAAATTCCTTTAGGGTGATTTGCAGATTTAAACACTTAAGCAACCATCCAATTTCAAGCACGCTATGATTTTTCCTCTTATGAAAAGATTTGCCTTTCCAATTTTTTCCCGTGTAGGCGATACCTCACGGTCTGAGAGGTCTGAGAACAGGTGCCCTCAGATCCTTTGGCACAGAGCTCTCCCCTTGAGATGGTGAACTGGGGACCCCGTGGCTCCTATAGGGGCCTTTTTGGGCAGGTTATGTGGGACCTACTGGTATGGACTGGGGCAGGGAGGGTCGGAGAGGAGAAGGAAGTGGGGGCTGGGTGGAGGTGTAGTGGGGAGTGTAGGGAGCAAAGGGAAATCATAAGAAAAAAAACATGAAATCATAAAAACCGGAAACAAAGGAAGAGTTAACTGTGTCCACAAGCAGCATCCCTGGGTGGTTTGCCAGTCCCCGGGGTAGGTTCTGGTTCTCCGTCTCCAAGCCTGGAGCCTTGAAGAGTTTTCGGCACTCTGCCTGGTGGGGGTTCTTTTTAGGAATGCTCCTTCATGACACAGACTTAGCCAGCGACTGTGGGGAGAATTTCTAGTGGTGCCTCTTGACCCAGGGTGTGAGTCACTTTGTGGACTTAAAAGAGTCCCTTTGCGCCCTGTCCCGTCTTCCTCTGTTCCTGAACCTTCCGGAGCGGTTAGAGCACTCATGCGTGTGCAGGTGGTGGCCCATCAGTCAAGGAGAAAACACAGTTGTGAAAGCAGGTATAAATCCTACTGGTTGAGGAAAAAAGACAGGGGTTTTGTTCAAGACACATGGAGCCAGTCTCTGGCCACTGAACCCTGTGGGTAGAGTCTCCTGTTTGGGGGACGAGAACCGTAATATTCACGTTGAAGTTCAAAGGTGAAGCCATGATCTGAATTCTGGGAGTCAGCAAAGATTGAGGAAAGATGTCAGATGAGGACAGGACACTGACATTGTTGATCACCTGTCAGTTGCCATATCCTGAGGATCAAAAAAGTAAACACGAAAGAAAAGCTTTGGAGGCATCGGGCTCTTCTTGGCTTTTCCCATTTGCTTCATCATCCGAGAACAAGGCAACACTAGGAGGTCGCTTAGCTGTCTCCTGGCATTAGCGTCCCAGCCAACACTCAGCGTCGTCTAAATCGTCGGGGGTATGGTTTTCCCTCTTCCAATCCCCACGTAGGGCTACGTGCGTCGGGAGCATTTTCCAACGACTTGCATAACAGGAAACATGGAGCTGGAAAAGAGTCAAGTCTACATGGGGGGGATCGCATGACACCCAGGGTGACGCTGACCCAGCCAGAGAAAACGGATCTTCCGTCTGCGTTTCGCACGTGGCCCCTTGAAAGCCAGATTGCTGACTCCGAGGCCTCCGCACGTCCTCTCTTCTTGCCTTTAGTCCTAGAAAGCGAAGCCTCCCTTTTTTTCCTAGATGACTCATTTGCAAGGCTTGATGAAAATATGTTTTGGTGCAACATCGTGTTAGCTCGAGCTGGATCTTACAGTGAGGCCTGATGTCAGATGTTTCTAGGCTTGAGACCCGCATCCAGAGGTTATGGTCTGCAGCTGCCGGTGTTCCTTTGGGATCCTGACTGATGTGACAGCCCGAGAGAATGTTTCCTTTCCTGCTGCCTTCTGGTTGTTGGGTTTTGTTGTTGTTGTTGTTGTTGGTTTGTTTTTGTTTTTTTTTGTTTGTTTTGTGGGTTTTTTGTTTGTTTGTTCTTTGTTTGCTTGTTTTGTTTTTGTTTTTTTCCTTCCGTCTTCTGTTTCACAGTTTTCTAACTCAGAGGCGGTTTTGTCTTCCCCTCTTTGCAGACTTTGGTTTGAGCAACTGTGCGGGGATCCTGGGCCACTCCGACCCGTTCAGCACGCAGTGCGGCAGCCCGGCCTACGCCGCGCCTGAACTTCTCGCCCGGAAGAAATACGGCCCTAAAATCGATGTCTGGTCCATGTGAGTTATGGACAGTGCCCTTCTGCCGCGTCTGCTCTCCCTTTCTTACAAAATAACCTCTGAGTATTCGATAAGAAGGGTGTTGTGTTACCTGCTCTGGGACAGATATCCAGCGATTCCTGGGGCCTGGCTTCCCACCTCTGTGCCTTCTGGTTGGTTCTGCACAGACCACCAGAGAGGCTTTTGCCAAAATTCATTCCGTTGCTGGGGAGACAAGAAAACAGGGTTCTGAGCTCCCAGAATTCATGTTCTGGTTTCAGGAGTCACTCCTGTGGTTCCCTTGCTTTAAAATCATCTCGAGGCTTTCCAGGGGTTCCAGAAAGCAGGCTGCCTGTGCCTCCCATCCAACCCTCCACTCACGAGTCCTCAGGCACGCTGGCCTTTGTTTCATCTCTCCCACGTCTGGGCTTTGCACCTGCTAGGCCCCGGGTCTGGAATGCCATTTCCCGGATCTTCAGGTGGCCTGTCCATTCCCACGTTCTGGTTTTAATCCAGTGTCCCCTCCCCTCCCGCACAGAATGCATCGCTGAGTTCCCTGTGAGAAAGGCCCCCACGATGCTGTCTCCTCACCCTTGCAAAGCCCTTGCTAGCACCCATGGCGGCCTGGCATTTTATGGTTTGTGAATCCATTTAGTGTCTGTCTCCCCAGTCGGGAAACGATGCTGCGTGAGCATGGGGACCTGATGGGTCTGCTCTGCCGGTGTCCCGCACAGCGTGGGCCTCCTGGGGCAAACTCAGTCACCGCCGAAGGGATGAGTCAGGGGTTGCTGTGGCGTTGCTGAGTCCGGGTCCCCATGGTTCCCATGGTCCCCACGCCGAGTGAGCCCCTCAGCATCAGGTGTGCATGGTACAGGGAGCCGAGCAGAATCCTGGATTCCGGGGTGGGGATCAAGTTCCTCACCGAGGGGAGACGGGCTGCAGACAGAAGGGGGCTCCTGATTAAGGAAGCTGATGATGAGGGCGGCTTGTTTGAACCCAGAGTATGTGGATCCCGTACATTTCTGGAATTCCCCTACTTCTCTCCCTTCTTGCTACCCGTCCCGTCCAGTTTGGAGAAAAGGGAACCTTTGCCCCATGCGTGGTATATGGCACTTAATCCTCATGGTAACCCAGCGAAGCTGTTACTCTCTGCTCTCCCCATTTTATGGAAGAAGAAACCCATCGCAAGAGCCAAAAGTAAAATTTCTTAAGGTCACGGGGCTACTAAGCGGTGGAGCTGGGGATTGAACCAGGCAGACTCCGGGGAGGGGGTCCTGGGTGGGGGGGCTGCTGGAATGGGTGGGAGTGGGGACAGGAAGTCCTGGCAGAGGAAGCCTTCTCCTTGAGGTGCCCTGGGTTGTTTGGTCAGCATTGGTGACTCACAGGCTCTTTATTCTGGGCCCAGAAGGGCCTCAGAATCCTTCTTAGCACAATGTCAGAAAGCACTGCCAAGGGATCAGAGTTGACCCTTGAGGTGAAATCCATTCTTGTCGCTTTCAATGCTGAAGAACTCTCACGCGTGTCTGGCGCATGTAGATATTTATTAAGGGAGGAATATACACGTTAGAGTCTGTAATCACCTTCTCTCCTTAACAGTCGGGGAACTCACTTACGCTAAATGGAGAGCTATACCAGGGACCATTGGTGCACAAAAAATAAAATTAAAATAAAAAGGCTATGGAGCACAGGGAGCCTGAAAGGCCAAGAGGTTCCGAGGCGTGATGTAACAGGTGGGTGGGCGGCATAACGGTCACGGGAATGAGAAGCGGCAGCCGCAGAGCCGGTGACAGTGTCCTCCTCAGCCCTGCTCTCCCTGGGATGGAAGGATAGGTGTCAGCACAAGTTGTCATGGTGACGAGGCTCAGCCTACAAAGGGGGACCTTTCCGCTCTGTGACTTGCAAAGCAGGCAGCTCCTCACTGTCTAGAAGCGTTGGTAGAGGGAAGGAGCCTCATGGATTGTCAGAGCCTCAGGGAAGCTCCTGGGCACGTTTCACTGGCGTGGAACCTCTCGTCCCCTCGTGCTGACTGTAGGATGAGAAGAAGCCGACTCTCCTGTCTGGGGAAATCCAAGGGGCAGTGAAAGGCACCAGCTGTAAAAGGCAGCACGGGGTGAGGGTCCAGTGTGAGCTCAGGCTTCGTTCCTCCCCCTCCTGCCAAGTCCTTGGACTTGGGAAAGAAATCCACATTTAGGGACCCCAGGGGCTCTATTTCTCAGTTTTTGGGACCCCATAATTCAAAGAAAGGGGCCTGGTCTCCTGCCACCCCTTGTGTCCCCCTCCGTCCGCCAGAAGCAGTGATTCCATGGGGAACGTGGCATTAGAGGAGGGAGGGTGGAGGGGAAGCTGCGGGAGGGATGGGGGTGCCCCGGAACGCTCGCTCCCCTCCCCCACGCTGGCTTGTGTCACCATTGGGCTGTCTGGAGCTGCTGGATGTTTCTTCACTCACCTCTCACTTGGTTGCCTCCCCTGCTCCCCCTCCCCCCAGCCCCCGCCAAAAAGGTGATATGCAGCTTCAGGTCTTTTGAAAAGCTCCTATCAGGCCTCATTATTGGTCTTGGTGTCAGAGATTGATGTGTGGGGAAGTCTTTGACAGAAAGTAACATGCCATATACACCTTGGTCTTTCGTTGATTGTGGCATAGCTCTGGAGGCTGCGGGGGGGAATCCCAGGTAGACCAGAGACTCCGTGTGCTGGTACCCTGCGGTGGGGAGTTGTGGTAGGAGAGTCTCTCCCTATTTAGCCGAGAAGGACTCTGCTTTATTCTTATGAACAAGGTTTCCCTGGAGGAAGTCTTGGTTAGCTGACCCTGGAATGTTCTCTAGGGGATGAGGCCACAGGACCCATGCCTAATTCACAGGGATGGCACCAGTGAGGCCCCTTTTAGAAGCTGTTGATAAAGCTTAAAAAACAAAAAGAAGCCACGCGAGCCAGAGATAGCTTACCAGCAGTTTGTTCATTTGGCAAATACGGGTTGAGCCGGGCACTGTGCCGAATTCTGAGTGCACAACGGGGAGTAAAACAGCCAAACAGCCTTGGTCAGTCTCTGCTCTCATAAAGGTCATTATTAATGCTCATGTCCTTTGGACGGAGTGGTAGGCCGTGCTCCAGGGGCTTTACAAGTATTAACTTATCTCATCTGCCTAACAACCCTTCAAGGGAGTGCTCTGTGATCCCACTTTACAGATAAGGAAACTGAGGCCCAAGGAGTCTTGGGCTCTCAGGCAAGTGGCACTGATAGTGGGTATAGAGCCAGGATTTGACCAAGCTGGCTTGACGCTAGCGTTGGCCTTAAATGGTCACTTTTCACTGCTTCTACTTCTACTACATTGTGCTTTCTCTCCTGGGGTTTACGTTCTGGTGGGGCAGACAGACGGTTTTTAAACAAGCTATAAGCTGGGTGTGGGAATGGCTGTGGAGGAGGCAGGTGGGATACAGCAAAGAAGAATGGGGGTGGCCTCCAGGGGAGGAGACCTCAAAGCCAGATCCTTAGGATGAGTAGAACTGAATTCTGGGGAGAGGGAGGTGTCAGGGAGAAAGGCCCAGGGCACAGGGAACAGGATGTGGCAAGGCTGGGTGGGGGTGGGGAGGGGAGGTGTAGGAAGGGGGTTGGGTTTTGCCTAAAGGTCGTGAGAAGCCACTGGAAGATTATAAGCAGGTGGGTAACAACATGTTACGGACTGAATTGGGTTCTCCTCCCAAAAGATATGCCAGAGTCCTAACCCCCAGTGTCTCAGAATGTGATGCTATTTAGAGAGAAGGTCTTTATAAGGGTAACCCAGTGAACACGTGGTCATAAAATCCAGTCTGACAGATGTCTTTATAAAGGGGGAAATTGGGACACAAGAGAGTCACAGGGGGACGCCATAATGCTGCATCTCCAAGCTGAGAAATACCAGATTGCCAGAAACCACCAGAAGCTCTGGGAGCAGCATGGAACAGGTTCTCCCTCCTGGCCCTCAGAAAATACCAACCATGCTGACTCTCTCGGCTTAGACTTCAAGCCTCCAGAACTGTAAGAAAATCAATTTCTGTTGTTTAAGCTCTGAAATCTTGGGAAAGGCCAAAAGTAAACTGATGAGTCAAAACTCACCACTCCAGATCTCAAGAGCCATTCTCCTTCCCAGGAAGTAGGAAGTGATTCCTGTACTGAATCAAGTTCACTAACAGACGAATGAAGTAGACCAACGGGATTCTTGGTCATCCCTTACCCAGCCGAGTGGAAGCCCCCATCAGCCACCCAGCTGAGAGCCCCATGTGGTTCGACTGTAAATCCAAATTCTCAAGCATTGCTGCTACCCATAGGTAAGAAGTTACTGGATGTATGAAAACCAGAAACAAAGAAGACCAAAAAATATGCAGAATTTCATTCACGTGATGGTGGAAGGTTCCCCCAGGAGTAAGAGAGGGCAAGCCCTAGTGCATGGACAATTTTCGAGAAGCGTCTGTGTCATATTTACTAACCTTTCAGTGGGCAAAGCAGGTTGCGTGGCCAACCTGGAATCAAGGGGAGAGAGAGAAGCTTCCACCCTGTGATGCGGGGAGTGGTACGGAATGTGTGGGATTTGGGTTTTTGTTTTGTTTTGCAATCGAACACACTTATGGATTGCTATGGACTGAACTGTAGGCCCCCCCCCAAATCCATACATTGAAGCCCTAATTCCCCAGAATTAGGAATTGAAGTGGAGCCTTTGTGAGGTCATGAGGGCGGAGTGCCCATAATGGGTTAAGGGTCCTTAGAAGGGAGAGTCCAGAGAGCTTGTTTGCTCTCCGACAGTGAGGACAAAGCAAGAAGGTGACTATCTGCACACCAGGAAGAGAGCCCACCACAGCCCTGCCATGTTGGCTCCAGGCTCCGGAACTGTGAGAAAATGTCTCTTGGTTGAGGCACCCCATCTGTTGTATTTTGTCATGATGGCCTGGGGCCACTAACACACGTACTTACCTACTTGCATTACCTGTAAACAATTCTGGCTTTTCAGGGGGCCCAGCTGCGTAGCTGGGTGAGTTCAAGAAGCCATCAG